TCCCAGGCTGTGGTTGGGGACCGGGGTTGCGAAGTGTGTTCGAACAGCTGCATGAAGTTCGCCGGGATCCGAACTTGGCGAAATTGCGTGGGAGATGCACACATGTCTGCCAAACTCGCCGTCCAACAATTTCTTGAAGTTCGGATCCCGGCGGACTTCTTATTTTCCACGTCGCTGGCTGTGGTTGCGCACCGGGGTTGAGAAGCGTGTTTGAACAGCTGCACAAGCCCGCCGGGATCCCAACTTCTTCCGGTGTTTGATTGCGCGATCAGTTCGGTTGGAACGGCCACGTTCCGGTCACGAGAACAGTTCCGGCGACGCGTGGGGTGGTGGGTGCTCAACGTTCGCCGTTCGACGACCCTACGTCCTCCAAAGTTCAACGTCCGACGAGGTTCGACGCCCGCCGAGGTTTGATGTGGAGCCAGGTTCCGTGGGCAGCATGGTTCGATGTTATACGAGGTTCGATGTGCAACAAGATTGTGACGAAGTGCTTTTTATTCGTTCGATGTGGATCGACGTTTTTCCGATCGGTTGTGCGTTTCGTTCGCCGGTTTCGATCGTGCACATGATCATTTGCCTTGAGGATTCTCCGCGATCGTTCTCCACGATCAATTAGCACAGAACAGTCGATTGGTTGATCGGCTGCTCGGTTGACGGTTGGTGTGGTGGTTGATCAACCAGCAGAGCAATCGCCAACCGAGTTGTCGACCAATCAGTTGATCCTGGCAGATTTCCTGACCGATTGACGGTTCGGTCGAGGACTGTCAGGTGCATAAATAAACAGGTCGCTCGCCGGCGGGTTGATCTTCGGTGCAACACACACGATCGATCATCCGATCGCAAGTAATCTTCTGTCGTTTTGCGATTGGTCGGTTGGATGCGTTGTCACCTTGTGCATTGGTTAATCATCCGTCGGGCAGATCAGCGGCGCTGTTGTTGGGGAAGCAAACAACATTTATCACCCGATCGCGAGTGGCCGGCTTGCGTTTCGTGATGGGTCGGTTCATCACGTGTGTGGTGTACATATTGTCATGGATCTGATCGACCATCAGATCACGAGTGATCTGAATACACACGACAGAAAGAACAACACATACGCAGTGGTAACGTCGATACGGCAGACACGACCAATCATCCGATCGCGAGTGATCTCATCGTGTTTCGCGATTGGTCGATGGATGCGTTCGCTGTGTCGAAATTGCCACCGCGTGTTTCGATTGATCATCCATTGGGCAGATCGACGGACATGACATTGGGACAGCACACAAAACCAATCGGGTATGGCAAGTGCTCACGATGACGTTGTGTTTCGTTATTGGTCGCCGCATGTTCGATCCGAGCTTCCGTGCTTTGCCACTTGAGTACAGCACGAGCGCAATCATTTGTTGATACTCTCCTCACACATCCTCACACATCCACACACAAGCGGAATCGAAGGGCGAACCATGACGTTCGTCCCTGACCGCGCACGTTCGCGGGCATCTCCCCGCGGAAAACGCGCACGAACACACACGCACGCGAACACATATGCACAGACAAGCACACACACACACACACACACACACACACACGCGCCGCCACACGGCGCCCACACACACACGCCCCTCAGGTACAGACGCGCGCACGATCCTGCCTCGCACGTGTGGCACACACTTCAATACAAACACAAACACAAAGGAACACGCACTCGAACACACACACACACACAATGAAGCATGCACAAACACACAATCGCATACAAACACACACACACATACACGCACATATGCAGCCACGAAATCTTTCGATCTGCGCGAGCATATCGTCACAAAAAACCTCCCTCGCACGCGCGCACATGCAAACATACATCCCGACTGCGTGCGCACTCACCGTGTGGAACTGCCGAGAGAAGATGAACGGGAACCCCGACGTTTGTCGTGAAGGCACTCTGTCCACCTTTGGGCGTGCACTTCGCGTTTGCTAGGGTGCTGCGTGGGGTGGCGGTCGCGCCTTCCGAGATAGGAGATCGGGAGCGACGTCGAATATGACGTGGACAGCGACTTGGTAGGCAGAGGGACATGCGAGGGCATGTGGGGTGCGTCGTTGCCACGAAACGTGCGCGGTGAAGAATGGCTGTGCCAGCTATGGCGCGCCAGCTATTGACGACAGTGGCGGTGCGTGGCTTCAGTCGGGCAGCATCTCCCCAGCAAAAAACGCAAAACGCATCGTCAATGCCCAGGGCGCCGCTCGTATTTGTAGGCGCGCGGGACACGAGGGCCCCTTGGGCCTTCCGTTTCGGATTTCTGTGCAGGGTCCGCACGCCGACTCGCGGCTGTTCGATCCGCGCATCGAACGGTGGCTGCACGTCGAAATTGTCGCGAGGGGGGCCTGGTGCATCGAAATGTGACAAAAACGTCCCTATGGGTTGGCATTTCCCGGACGTCATTGGAAAACGGGCCCTTGTTCCGGGCCCCTCGCGTTCGTGTCTTCGGGTCTGCGGGCCCCGGTGGAGGGGGTCTCAGGTATCGACGGGGGGCAGTTTGTACTTTCCAAGGGTGAGGGGGGAGAACCGGGGGAGGGGGGAGGGGGGCGGGGTGCTGGGGGAAAGGGGAGGTTGGAGGGGTTCGCGGCAATTCGCGTCTCCTGGCTGGCGAGCAGGGTCTGTGGCCGTGCGGGGGGACACAGGCGGGTCTTTCCATGGGGTGCGACGACAGTCTGACGCTCAGCTGCCTCGGGTCTGGGGCAGCCCTTTCGCATCTCGAGCCTGACGAGCGCATTCGCGCTCGACGTCCCGTCAGCGACATCCTCCATCGCCTTTTCTGCTCCGTTGTTGCGCCAGGCGGCGGTGGGCGTGGGCGCAGGGGTTTCCTCTCGTCGACAACTGTCGTCTGTGGTTCGGTTGTCTCCGCTTCGACATCTCGTCTCTGCGTCTTGCGTCAGCAAGTGGCCACCTCCGTTTGCGCTGAGCCCTTGTCGAACAATTGCGCCATCGTGTGCGTTTCGCCGTCGTCGAAGAACTGCGCCTCCTCGAAGAACTGTGAGCCGTCAAAGAGCAGTGCCATCGTGTGCGCTGTGCCCTCTTCAAGGTAAAGTGTTGTTCTGCTTGCCCTCGTGTCAGGCATGTTTGCCAACCCATGGGAGCGGCCGCGTCGCGCCACCTGTTTCAAGTTGCGGGGAGGGAGGGAAAGGATGTCAGTGACATTGGGCCACATGGTTTCTGTGTCCCCTTCTGATTCCCGCTCGTTCTTTCCTCGCGAGCGGCCCCGTGATTCTTGCTTGCCATCATCATCATCATCATCGCCCCCATCATCACCATCATCATCGCCACCACCATCAGCGTCATCATCTTCATCATCATCATCATCATCACCATCATTGTCATCGTGATCATCATCATCTTCATCAGCATCAACAACATCATCATCAACAACATCATCATCAACCTCGTCAACGTCATCAACATCGTCATCATCATCGACATCATCATCAACATCATCAACGTCATCAACAACATCATCATCATCAGCGACATCATCGCCGTCAACAAAATCACCACCATCGTCCTCTTCGTTGTCATCGACATCATCAACATCGTCATCACCGTCGTCATCATCGTCATCATCATCATCTTCGTCATCACAATCATCATCACCACGAACATCATCATCGACATCATCATCGTCATCAACATCGTCATCATCGTCAGCGACATCGTCGCCCTGATCAACATCACCACCGTAATCGTCACCATCATCGTGTTCGTCACCGTCGTCATCATTATCATCATGTCGTGCTACGTGTCGCAAGTGGCTGGGACGGCGGGAACGGATGACGTGGACATCGGGGCACACGGTTTGCGTGTCCCGTTCTGCTTCTCTCTCATTCGTTCCACTTGACCGGACCCACATTGAAGAAAAACTGTCGTTGATCACAAGTTGGACATGGTAAACCACTCCCGCGCGGTCGAGGCAAACACGAAATCGCTTATTCCCAGCGGAACACGAAACCCCTTCGAAACACTTCCCTCGCTCGTTTGTTGTTCTCAACAAAGAGATTAGAGGTTGGTTATCACAAAGGAGACGCATGGGCTGCGCGCGACCGTTGTTGGTACTAAGCGTCGCGCGGTGGCCACGGTGAAGGATGTCCGCCGTCCACGTGGCGTGCAGTGAGAGGTAAGGTATTCATAAAGAGGAGGGGGTCGTCGTTCCGTGCGCGTGTTCTCGCTGCAACACTTGAGCCTCCCTCCCCGAAGAGATTATGGCGTCAATCACGGGAGAGTTGCTGTCGTCTCCATCCCGCGCACACAACGTGCACATGATCCACCATAGAGGCCATGCATGTTGAGCGCGCGCTCCTGGCGCTGGTCGTGAGGGATGCGATATCGCATTCCGCACGATAAATGCCAGGACTGTGCGCGCAACATCCGCGGGCTCCAGAACGAAGAATGCACACGTTGCGTGCGCGCGATGGAGAACGTCTGCGTCGCTCGCTACAATGACGATGGCATTTCTTCGGCGTGAGCGCCTCATGTTTCGTGACGACAACCTCGACACGAAAACATGTCCTCGTTTAGTAACAAACAACCCGGCCGCCTCTGTGAAACGTCTCAGTCACCGGGGCAAGGGGGCTCGCCATTGTCACCGCAAACTCGAAACCAACAACAGCCAAACGAAAAGCGGCGCGTGGCGTGTGGTTGTCTGGCGAGATGGGAAGTTCGGATCCCGGCGAACTATAGCAATCATGCGCAGTGCTCTCGCGAAAGCAACAATCCGTTGCTGTCGCTCGGCCGCAGGGAGAGCACGCGCAGCTGCGAAAATAGCGCATGATTGTTGTAGTTCGCCGGGATCCGAAGTTCCCATTTTTTTGGCGGTTGTTGATTTTGCATTCGCAGTCACAATGTCATCCCGGGTTGCCCTGATGACTACGTTTTGCGGGACACAGTTCCCATCTTTCGGGCGTGGGGTCGATAGTTCATAACGCCATGCCAGTTTTCAGCGTGCGACGAAGTTCGGATCCCGACGGACTTGCAATCTGAAGCATGCGAAATCGCGGGCTGCTCGGATCCCGGTGTGTCGTGGATCTTCGTTCATCGACGCCCCGAAATGCGGTGCGCCCGAGCATCGCCTGCTTCTATGCAAACGCCATCCGCCCGCTCCAAATGCAGGCGAATCCATCAAGTTCGGATCCTGGCGGACTTTGGGGGACGGCACAAACCTAACCGTCCTTTGCATGGCGCCTGAAGCTTCGAGTGTGAGTTGATTGCGACAGGACTGTGCGTGAGAGAAATTGCTCGCCCTCTGAAATGCCCTTCAAGGGGTTCATGGGGGTTGCCGAAAATAAGGGACACGGTCGTTGTCACCGCCGGTAACCCACATTAACCCCTTCGAGGGGATTTATGAAGGCGAGCAATTTTCGCGCCCACCATCTTTGTTGCCCCCCAAGGTGTTTGACCGTCGTGGTGTGCGTAGTCTTGTCGCAGAATCGGGGGTCGCCTTCTCGACTGGCCGAATCAATGTTTGGAAGGGTTAAAGGGGGGATCTTTCATCCTTTTCTACATTTTTCTTGTCTACGCAGTGGGGATGTCCGAGTTCGATAAGCTCTTGCGCTAGTACTTGTGAATGGAAAACTGCACGAGCTCGCTTAGACGATGGTGAGAATCGAGTTTATGGGGGTGAGTTTGGGGTCGCGCTGAGCCGAATTGTGTGGTAGTGCATCCACCACTACCCTTTGTTCTGCGCATGCTATCGTTCACCGACAACAGAGCCTTCCTTCTGTTCGCCCAATCATAGCATTCCTTGTGTGCACCCACAGGCGCTACCTTCCACTGACACAAGCCGCGCGAAAACAGGTTCCTTCTTACTCCTACACCCGCCAAATTCGGATCCCGGCGAACTTAGAGGCTCCCAGTAAATCTAACCGTTATTTTCAACAGCTTGGACTGCCCAGTCCGTCTTCAATGCCGGCGGCCTGGTAGTGTGGAAAAGTTCTCGCCTTGTGAGTTGCCCTGAAGGGGGTTTATTGGGGTTGACGATGGTGTCACTGGCCGGGTGCATTTCCGGTGTGCCGTGGATCTTCGTTCATCGACGCCCCGAAATGTGGTGCGGCCGAGCATCGCCTGCTTCTGTGCAAACGCCATCCACCCGTTCCAATACCTGCAGCCGCACGAAAACCTGTTACTCGCTGCAAGCAAATCCGCCAAGTTCGGATCCAGGCGGACTTTGAGGATCGGCGCAAATCTATCCGTCTTCCGCAGGGCGCCTGGAGCTTCGACTGTGAGTTGATTGCGAGAGAACTGCGGGTGTGAGAAATTGCTCGCCCTCTAAAATGCCCTTGAAGGGATTCATGGGGGTTGCCGAAATTAACGGACACGACCGTTGTCACCGAAGGCAACCCCCATAAACCTCTTCAAGGGCATTTCAGAAGGCGAGCAATTTTCGCACCCACGATCTTTTCTGCCCCCCTAAGGGTTTTGACCGTCGTGATATGCAGAGTCTTGACGCAGACATGCTTGTGTTTCTGCGAGCTGTCCGGTTCGCGTTGTCGCATGTCGACGTTCCCGGCGCGAGAATCGGGGGTCGCCTTCTCGACTGGCCGAATCAATGTTTGGAAGGGTTTAAGGGGGGTTCTTTCGTCCTTTTCTGCATTTTTCTTGTCTGCGCAGTGGAGATGTCCCTGTTCGATAGCTATTGCACTAGTGCCAGCGAATGGAACACCGCACGAGCTCGCTTAGACGATGGTGAGAATCGATGTTTATAGGGGTCTGTTTGGGGTCGCGTTGCGCCGAATTGTGTGGTGGTGCATCCACCACTACCCTTTGTTCTACGCGTGCTATCATTCACCAACAATAGAGCCTTCCCTCTGTTCGCCCAAACGTAGCGTTCCTTGTGTGCACCCACTGGAGCTACCTTCCACTGACACAAGCCGCGCGAAAACAGGTTCCTTGCTACTCCTGCACCCGCCAAATTTGGTTCCCGGCGAACTTAGAGGCTCCCCGTGAATCTGACCGTTATTTTCAACAGCTCGGACTGCCCGGTCCATCTTCAATGCCGGCGGCCTGGTAGTGCGGAAAAGTGCTCGCCTTGTGAGTTGCCCTGAAAGGGGTTTATTGGGGTTGACGACGGTGTCACTGGCCGGGTGCATTTTCGATGTGTCGTGGATCTTCGTTCATCGCCGCCCCGAAATGCGGTGCGGCCGAGCATCGCCTGCTTCCATGCAAACGCCATCCACCCGTTTCAGTACCTGCAGCCGCGCGAAAACCTGTTACTCGCTACAGGCAAATCACCCAAGTTCGGATCCTGTCGGACTTTGAGGATCGGCGCAAATCTATCCGTCCTTCGCATGGCGCCTGGAGCTTCAAATGTGAGTTGATTGCGAGAGGACTGCGGGTGCGAGAAATTGCTCGCCCTCTGAAATGCCCTTGAAGGGGTTCATGGGGGTTGCAGAAAGTAAGGGACACGACCGTTGTCACCGTCGGCAACGCCCATAAACCCCTTCAAGGGCATTTCAGGCGGCGAGCAATTTTTCACACCCACGATCTTTTCTGCCCCCCAAGGGTTTTGACCGTCGCAGTGTGCGGAGTCTTGACGGAGACATGCTTGTGTCTCTGCGTGCTGTCCGGTTCGCGTTGTCACACGTCGACGTTCCCGGCGGGCGAATCGGGGGTCGCCTTCTCGACTGGCCGAATCAATGTTTGGAAGGGTTTAAGGAGGGTTCATTCGTCCTTTTCTGCATTTTTCTTGTCTGCGCAGTGGAGATGTCCGTGTTCCATAGCTATTGCACTAATGTCAGCAAATGGAACACCGCACGAGCTCGCTTAGACGATGGTGAGAATCGGTGTTTATAGAGGTCTGTTTGGGGTCGCGCTGCGCCGAATTGTGTGGTGGTGCATCCACCACTACCCTTTGTTCTGTGCGTGCTATCGTTCACCGACAATAAAGCCTTCCTTCTGTTAGCCGTAACATAGCGTTCCTTGTGTGGACCCACTGGAGCTACCTTCCACTGACACAAGCCGCACGAAAACAGGTTCCTTGCTACTCCTGCACCCGCCAAATTCGGATCCCGACAAACTTAGAGGCTCCCCGTGAATCTGACCGTTATTTTCAACAGCTTGGACTGCCCAGTCCGTCTTCAATGCCAGCGGCCTGGTAGTGCGAAAAAGTGCTCGCCTTGTGAGTTGCCCTGAAAGAGGTTTATTGGTGTTGACGACGGTGTCACTGGCCGGGTGCATTTCCGATGTGCTGTGGATCTTTGTTCATCGTCGCCCCGAAATGCGGTGCGGCCGAGCATCGCCTGCTTCTGTGCAAACGCCATCCACCCGTTCCAATACCTGCAGCTGCGCGAAAACCTGTTACTCGCTGCAGGCAAATCCGCCTAGTTCGGATCCTGGCGGACTTTGAGGATCGGTGCAAATCTATCTGTCCTTCGCATGGCGCCTGGAGCTTCAAATGTGAGTTGATTGCAAGAGGACTGTGGGTGCGAGAAATTGCTCGCCCTCTGAAATGCCCTTAAAGGGGTTCATGGGGGTTGCCGAAAGTAAGGGACACGACCGTTGTCACCGTCGGCAACCCCCATAAACCCTTTCAAGGGAATTTCAGGTGGCGAGCAATTTTTCGCACCCACGATCTTTTCTGTCCCCCAAGGGTTTTGACCGTCGCGGTGTGCAGAGTCTTGACGCATACATGCTTGTGTTTCTGCGTGCTGTCCGGTTCGCGCTGTAGCACGTCGACGTTCCCGGCGTGCGAATCGGGGGTCGCTATTGCACTAGTGTCAGCGAATGGAGCACCGCACGAGCTCGCTTAGACAATGGTGAGAATCGGTGTTCATAGGGGTCTGTTTGGGGTCGCACTACGCCGGATTATGCGGTGGTGCATCCACCACTACCCTTTGTTCTGGGCGTGCTATCGTTCACCGACAACAGAGCCTTCCTTCTGTTCGCCCAAACATAGCGTTCCTTGTGTGCACAA